TATCATGAACAGCAGAGTGAAAAAAGAAGAGGCACAGGAAGCAGTGATGGTCTCCCACAAACACTCAAAAATTAATTGCTGAACAGGAAGTTATCTTTTTTATAAGTATACAGCATTTCTATATATGTGCTCATTTAATCCTACAAGGTAATGATTACCATCCCATTTTACAGATAAGGCAATGGAGGCTGGAAAGGTAAAGAGAATGCCAGCAAGTGGCAGAGGAGCCTGACCAGGGCACTCAGACACCAGCGTCAGATCATCACCACCCCACCCACTGTTAGGTGTCTCAGCAGACAAATCCCACTCAACCTGCAGATGATTTTTGGGGAGGGACTATAAAGATAAGATAAAAATTATCTTGCAACTATAAAAGGAAACATAAAATAATAGAAGAGGTCTTCCTCCCCTTTGAAAGCATGCACATGATTCTTTATCTGAAATGATTTAAATTCAGGCCAAGTCAAGCACTTGCCCTGATACCTGTAGGAGTTCCAACTGCAGTTGGAATAATGACAAAGCTGTGCAGAGGGGGAGGCGGGAGGAAGATGGGTTTGGATGTATTTGTGTGTGGGTGGTCATCGCGTCAATCCACCAAACCCACACGCAATCAGACACCAGTCAGACACCCTTTGAAATGGGAACGGTGATGGTAGACAGCAGCCCACTCCTGCTCAGGTGCCTGAAACAGAAAGGAGCCGTGCGGGAAACGACAATCCAAACCCTGATTCCCTACGCTCAAGGTTGCCAAACACGTATTTCCCCCTCGCACGGCTCCTTATCCCATGGGAATCCAGTTCAACTGCTGGCAAAGACTGGAGAAGAACCGAGCTTTAGAGGAGTGCCCGTAACCTGGTTGGACTTAATGTTTTTCTGGGCGTCAAATTTTTTTTTAAAGATTTTATTTATTTGACAGAGAGAGACACAGCGAGAGAGAGAACACAAGCAGGGGGAGTGGGAGAGGGAGAAGCAGACTTCCCGCCGAGCCGGGAGCCCGATGCGGGGCTCGATCCTCCTGGGATCATGACCTGAGCCGAAGGCAGATGCTTAACTGACTGAGCCACCCAGGCGCCGCCTGGGCGTCAATTTTTATCTTTAAGGTATGGATCAGCTGGACATAGGCAATTGATTTTTTTTAAGAGTAAAAGCAGTTTAATTAATGTTCATCACAACCCTTTGAGGTAATTTTTACTATGATTTCCATGTTATAGAAGGTTTATTGATTATTGAATTCAAATTGCATCAGCCACAGATGCAGCCAGAGTTTTAACTAATTCAGGGGTGATCATCTTTAATGGAAGTAGTTTCTAGGAATAACTTCCTCATGGTTTCCATTCATCAAACCTGGCGACAAAGGGAAGGCAGCTGTGGTGTGTAGAAAGGGCACAGCCCTTAGAGGCTGGACACTCGGGTTAATGTGCGGACAAGGCAGGCCATCGCTTGAGGCTCCGCAGAGAGTGACGCCCACCTTGTGAAACAGACATCAGGGACATCAGGATGGCACCTGGAGCCAGACAGCCTGGGTCTGTAACTCAGCTCCACTGCTTACCGTCTGTGTAATCTTGGGCAAATTAACCTCTATGGCCCTTTGTTTCTTCTTCTGTGAGAAGGAGATAGTTTTAGTACCAAGCTAGTGGGTGGCTCTGTGAATTAAATGAGTTAAAATTCGTAGACCAGTTATATAGGACCTGACCCACATTGAGCACTATATGAGTGCTTGATAAAGAAGACTACATATAAAGGTTAAAGGAATGATTGTGTGGTGGAAGGAAGGACCGTGACACCACAGGCACGTCCCTGGGAGTCCTCTTTAAGCCAGACCAGTCCAGACAGGGTAGCCCCCGATGAGCTACAGTAGAAACCGCACCTCCATCCAGGAAGCTCAAGCAGACACTGTTTTGTGTGAATTCTCACCCCATCACTGATTTAGATCTGTTGACCACCCTTCACGTCTCTTCCTCTCACACTGTCTTTCACCTCTAGGCAGTGAAGATGGGAAACCAGCCACCGAATGTGAAATAAAATTGCAGTTAAGAGCAAATTTGTTTTTTGAAAGAACATTCCAAAGGAGAAAGAGGACCTTGACTCTCTGATACGTTTCACCGACTCTGTGAACGGTATCAAAGAGGCATTTCGTTTTTCGTTTTGATTTAGGGCAATCTGCCAAGTTTCAGACATTTTTAAAATAAGAATTAAAGTCACATCAGGATAGTTTTCATGTATAGGGCAATTCTCACAGAATTACAAATAACAACCAAGTGTTTTCTAATTATGCTCCAGTGAATTTCAGCAACTTGCTGAGAATTCCCTTGCTCTAGTATTTGTGTGCCTGCCCAGCTTGGGCATTTTGCATGTGTGCGTCATATATAAGAGCTCCTTTTTAACACCCCACAGGCCCCATAAATGTTAGTTGAGTACTGATCTAAACAGACAAGTACTTGTTGAAAATAAAATTGTCCTGACCAAAACAGCTGCATAGAAAAGAGATTTCATCCATTGAAAGCAAAGGAGAAAATAGGATTTGGTCCAACAATGTGCGCACATGCAATTGTTATTACATATAGCATTAAAGGTATCATGAATTTGGGTAGGATACATTTTTACACTTACAATTTTTATTTTTTCCTTATGTACATAACATGTATGTCATATAAAATGGAAAATACAGTGAAAGCAAAAATACGGTTAATAAAAATTGGAATAATCATTTCGGTAACACTGTGAGGAGAAAACCCGTTCCCAAATTGCATGCGTGGCAGGACAGGAAGCCTTTAAAAAGATCCACCGCTGTTTCCTAAATTTGTGTGAGAATTCACACAAAACAGTGTCTGCTGTTTTGTTTGTTTCTTAAATCAAACAATGAAGAGTATGAGATGAAACAAAAGAGAGCCCAAAACCAGGACTCCAAAGACTTGCCTGTAATCCTGCCTTATTAACGGACAGCTTCTGTGACCTTGAGTATGCCCGTGGGCCCTAAATTCCTCACCTATCAAGAAAGTTATGGCGTGCTGGGCTGGCTCTGTCGGCAGAGCATGTGACTCTTGATCTCAGGGTCGTGAGTTCAAGCCCCACGTTGGGAGGGGGAGGAACTTAAGTAACTTTTAACTTTTAAGTAAACTTTTTTAAGTAAACTTTTTTAAGTTTACTTAAAAAAACAAAGCGGGGTTGGGGGTGCCTGGGTGGCTCAGTCGTTAAGCATCTGCCTTCAGCTCAGGTCACGATCCCAGGTTCCTGGAATCGAGCCCCGCATGAGGCTCCCTGCTCGGCGGGGAGCCTGCTTCTCCCTCTCCCACTGCTTGTGTTCCCTCTCTCGCTGTGTCTCTCTCTGTCAAATAAATAAAATCTTAAAAAAAAAAAAAAAAACGACAGTTGGACTAAAGGACTCTACAGAATTTGAGGACATAGCCATTTCTATTATAGGCCTCTGGACATGATCCCCTATTAGCAGCTATCCTTCTTTCCTGGGATTCACAAAATCCTCTTTTTCTTAACTAGATTGAAAAACTCCTCCAAAGTTTTTGGTAATGTACTTCCGAAGTAGGCCCTCCCACACAGTGGGGTGACTATTCCCACCCCAGCTCACCTCCCAAGTGACCTGCTTGGGGCAGGGTAGGTAAGAAGGGTGAAGCACTGGAAACCCTCCTAGGGGTCTAGGACTGGGCCTTACGTTGTAGCTCTTGCCCTGTTCAGGCTGCTAGCATTTATCAGCAGGGCATATAAATTCACATGCTAAGGATCTGGTCGTGTTGAATAAGAGGCACTAATACATCTATTTTATTCTTTCCTCCCAAAGGTCAAATCCAATTTCTATGCAAATGCTTTGGTCAGAACATTCTTTTTGAACAAAGGTATAAGGATTCTTCTTCTTTAACAAAAAGATTTGGAATCACTGTGATGGCTTGCACAGAATTCCTCCAGAGCAGAAGTGGCTTATGTCATTCTTATGTACTGAGAGACTGGAGGAGCTTAATGGAATTTGTTGCAGATCTCCCAAAGATTGGCAAAATCCACAGAAACCAAGGCAAACCTCTGGTCTACTTCCTAATGCCCCCAGGGCGGAAACGGAAGTAGAGCGTCATTGTTTGGTGCCAGAGATCAGAATACATCTCACTTAAAAGGTAACTGACTTACCCAATGTTATTTACTAGGAGAAACAGTGCAGCTGACACTATGAGGGAAGTTAGCAGGGGGAAGGTTTGGGAGCAAGTTAGTTTTCTCTGGATTCCTACAGGTCACACAAGACCTCCCCATAAAGAATGACAAATCCCCTGGCATATATATATCTTGTTCCCACACTTCAGATTCTCCTTAAGTGTCACCTTTTGAGAGAGGTCTCCCTTGATTGCCCCCTATAAATGCAGTCCCTTTACCCTGCATTTTCTTCCTACTTTAATTTAAATATTAGATATTTTGGTGTCTGCATTTATGGTCTGCCTGTTCCTGCTAGAAAGTAAGCTTCCTGGGGATGCTGAGTTTTTGTTCACGCCTGGATCTCGAGTAGGAACAACGTCACACATTGTAGGTGCTCAGCAAACTATCTGTTCAATAAATAAGTGTCAGAAACCCTCCAAGTGAATAAATATTTAAGGATAACAGATATAAAGAAGGGTGAGTATAAATCACCGCACTTGCCCTAGGCACAGTGGGGACAGCTTTTTTAATAGACAGAGCTATCAATCCCTTCACCACCAAATGTCTGTACATCTCAACCACCATGATGAGGAAATGGGCATTTCTCACAGAAAGTTTTATCATTCTTTTTCCTTCATTTACTCTCAAAATGCACAGTTTGATGTCCAATCCTATTTACGCCTTTTTGACAGCAGGGAGATGCTTCTCACTGCACGGGTTTTAGCGAAGGCTTCAGGCTTTACAATCGCAAACGCCTTAGATGCGACTATGCTCAGCATTAGCTAACAGCTTCACAGGAAGGAAGGCACTTGCCTAAGCGACCTTTGAGCTACGAGGAACTCATGTCAACGGGTGGCTGGGGCACTTACTGCTGGAGCAGGCGGCTTCTTTAGGGCTGGACGACATCGGCTGTGAGCACAGTTGGCAAAGGCAGTCTCTCCCATTGAACGTGACTCGGTCTCCGGGTGGAAACGGGCGCCTGGAGACAGAAAGACATTGCCCTCAAGGTTATTCCAGCAATTTAATTTCTTTTCCTTACTCCTTCTGCTCGCTGCCCCCGGGTGCCAATCCATTTCTTTGAGGAGCACTAGCCAGAATGCCTGAAATGCAGTCTTATTAACCAAGCCAGCCAGCTGGATATAGTCCAAACAAATAAACATGCCTCATTTTGAGAAGGGAGAACGCACTGCTTCTACCAGCAACCAGACAGTAAAATGGAATGATTGACCTCTACTCATTAGTGGAGGGACTGTTCCAACAAGTCACTTAGCCAGGTACACACAGGAAAATTTTCCATTTTCCAAATGGAAAACCCTTCAAGAAGAAATATTTTAAATGCCATAAATTCCTATTCAAGCTTAAGGCCCCTCCCCAGGAGAACTGGTTACAGGTCAAGCATTAACTCCTTAACTTCCCTAGACCTGCGTGGTATTTGTGCACCTAATGAGACTTTGTTCTGGACATCTGAGTGGGTGAACGGGGTGTTTCAGGGCTGGAGACCCAATCCCTGGTGGAGAAATACAACAGTGCTGTAAATACCTATTTAAAAACGATTAGTTTCTAAAAACTTAAAACAAAACACAAAACTATTAGCTTCTTTTCAGAGAGATCATTTCCTTTTGCATCATTCGTCAACAACAGTTTGCAAAAATATTGCCTCTGCATGTGTGTTACTCGTTTCTTCTCTGGCCAGTTCCTGGTAGTTTTTCAAAAAGAAAAGTCATTAACAAAGACACATAGGACAATTTCCATGTCTGCTTACTTGTAATTGGCAATTGCCAATACTCTTCATTAACATGAGCTTTCAAATGTGTGATTCTGTCTGTTAGGAAATGAAAAACTCACAAGCAAAACATCCCCACACATCTGAGTCACAAGCAATTACTTGAGAACAAACACTGGCTCTTTGACAGGAGTTTTACTTTCACAGCTGCTAACCCTCCTTTAAGTGGCCCTTCCGCTGCCTAACGGTTGGTAATTAACCATAACACACACATAGGTAGTAAATTTGGACTTAAAACAACTCCACAGATGTGCTTTGTGCTGGTCCTCAAGGAGAGTTACAGTCTCTTACTCTCCCCCGCCCCCTCCTTTTACAAATGCTGAGCTGAGACCCTCTCTTCTCCTCTCAGGGTGCTGGTGCTGTGTTACTTTCCATTGTTCAGATAAGGCCCAGAGAGGTTAAGTGACCTGCCTGGACTGACCAGCTCAGGAGACTGGACCCCAGGCAGGTGCAGGTGGCATCCACCAATACAGGACTTCTCTATCTTTAACAATAAAAAATCATGCTCTGGTGGATGCCAGTGGGCCTATTGCTTCCTCCATGAAACCTGAATGAGGCCCCAGTCTGCTCTGTGAGGGGACATCAGGAATTAGGGGGCCAGAAGCACAAGCACGAGCTTTTTGCCTCTGATCGGGGCCAGGACTAGGTTGAGGCCAGTGAGGCACCTGGGGCACCTGGGGCCCAGCATTTAAGGAGGCCCTAACTCTCAGGTGTAGACCCTGCAATGCATGCTAACCTCCTCTCTTGCCTCTGAGCCAAGTTTGTATGTTTAGACTTGAATTCCACCTGGATCCACTAGGGGATAAACCAGAGTCCAGTTCTTAACATGGGGCCAGGTCTTTTGAACTTCGGCTTGTGTGATTTTATAAATGACCCTCTTCAGTTCTTTTCCCCTTCACCCCACTGTGTCCTCTGCCCACATGGCTTCACTTCCTTCTGCCATTTGTGTGAATGTGTGTAATCAAGAGAACTAGATTTGGAGTCAGGAAACCTGAGTTCAAATCTTAGCCTTGCAGTGTTAGTCTGGGGAAAGTCCCTTAAACTCTGAGACCCAGAGTCACTCATAATTAGGGACACTAATTCCTGGCTGACTTCACGGAATTGCTAAGAGGGTTAACGTAGATTCGACATGAATGCAGCTCGTCAGCCATAAAGGAGGCCTCCACTTCAGGTAGAATATCATCATCTTCAGCAGCAGCTGTGAGTGAGTACAACAACAACAGTGAGTACCTCTTCGCTGGCCCAAACGTAGGGAGAGAGGACTATCACTAATAGACGTTTATTCATCATCACCGATTTTAAAACAATGATCTCTCAAAGCCAGAATCAGGAGGGCTCGTAAGAGTTTATCTGAGCCAGGGCCTTCCAACCTGGCTGAGTAGCCCCATACTTGGGAGCCCTCTAGAAACTACTAGAGCAGCAGGAGAGTTTGGGGGAAAATGCTAGAAACAGACATTTGTAAAGATACCTTCCCCAGGGGAGGAGTCCACTGCTCATCCTTGTTTGGGGAATCACTGGGATCTAGTCCACAGCCTCCTATCTTACGGATGAAGCAACTGCCGTGGAAAAACTTAATTCACATAGTCCAGGAAGCAGGACTAGAACTTGGGACTCTCGAATGCCAGCCAAGGGCTTTTAAGCAGGCAGTGGGCCACAGCCTGCAAGGGGAGAGGTCAAGAGGAAACTTTACTTTGGATGAAATACAGAAAAATTTTCAGCTCAATAATCCAGCATTTTAAAATTAGGATTTAAAAAGATATATTTGAGAAATGGACTAATAACCATAAAATATTATTACAATAATTTTACCATGAATACTCCATCTAAATCTTATATGGTTCATCTGTGAGTATTACCTTGTTAGCTAATTAGATAAAATGAAGTTTACCTTTCTAGAGTTCACATCTCTCTGGTCTAGAAATACGAGATGCTGAAAAACAAAGCGAAACACCTCCTCTGAACCGTCATTTTTACAAAGCTACAGCAAAATGGAGCACACAGCCAGCAACTGTACACCAAAAGCAATGGGACTGCCCGATTAGGGTGGATCAGTCAAGTAGCTGAGCCTTGTTGGGGACTCTCCTTGTTACGGCAAGCGAAGCCATCTTAAGTTCTGTAATGTGTAGTCTGCGAAACACAGCAACGATGAAACCACCACCTTTCCCCACTCACACTTCACATGCTTTCCCCTTCTTCTCTCTGACTGATCATTTTAACCAAGCTGGTTTGTGCAGTTAAGATTTAACCTTGCTAGAGGACAGAAGCCTAGAGAGCAGAGGTGGGTCAACTGTTCCCCCCGAGAGTTCAGACTATAAGTATTTTTTTTTTAGACTTTGCGGATCATACGGTGTCTGTCATGACTGCTCAACTCTGCCACTGTAGCTCAAAAGAAGCCACAAGCAGCCATATGTGAACAAATGGGTGTGACTGTGTCCCAATAAAACTTTATTTACAAAGACAGGTATTGGGGCTAATTTGGGCCATGGGGCAGAGTTTGCCCAGCTCTGCTACAGAGTAAACGAGACTATTTTTTTTTTTAAGATTTTATTTATTTATTTAACAGAGAGAGACACAGCGAGAGAGGGAATACAAGCAGGGGGAGAGGGAGAGGGAGAAGCAGGCCTCCAGCAGAGCAGGGAGCCCGATGCGGGGCTCGATCCCAGGACCCTGGGATCATGACCTGAGCTGAAGGCAGACGCTTAACGACTGAGCCACCCAGGTGCCCCTAAACAAGACTATTTTTAAACACACACATATGAACGTATACTTCCAAAGAAGCTTTATCCTTCCAAGAAGTTATGCCATTTCCTCCTAAGGTTTTCATTGCTCAAACTGTTTCAAGACCCAGAGCTGCTTTCACACTTGGTTTCAAGCCACATAAAATCAGTCGTATTATTTAGTAGAGGACCTCGTGTGTAAAGTTTCCCAACTAGGGGCACCTGGGTGGCTCAGTCGTTGGGCGTCTGCCTTTGGCTCAGGTCATGATCTCAGGGTCCTGGGATCGAGCCCCGCATCGGGCTCCCTGCTCTGCGGGGAAGCCTGCTTCTCCCTCTCCCACTCCCCCTGCTTGTGTTCCCTCTCTCGCTGTGTCTCTCCCTGTCAAATAAATAAATAAAAAATCTTTAAAAAAAAAAAAAAGTTTCCCAACTAAATTACTTTTTGACTAAGACTGATAAAACAATAGGAACATTTTTTTAAAAATCTAAGGGCGCATCAGAAAAAGAATATTTCAAGACAGTGCAACTCAAGACAAAAGGTGTACATCCCAGGCTTCAAGAGCAGAACCCAGCACTTCTCTGTTGGGGGAAGGCACCACTTACTTGCAGATGGTGCAGGCAAAGCAGTTGGGATGATAAGTCTTGCCCAGGGCAGTCACCACCTCTCCTTCCACGAACTCCCCACAGCCGTGGCAGCGTGTCCCGTACATCCTCTGGTAGTCCAGGGTGCAGAGATACTCCCCGTTCTTTATGAAGAAGCCCCCTTGTGCCAGGTCACAGCCACACACTGTGGAAAGACAAGTTCGCCTTTGGTCAACATCTGCTAAGCTGCTGGGCAGCGCTGCCTTCCCCTGCATGCTGGGAACTTACTCCATGATCTCAGTGGCTTGGGGTGAGGGGAGGGGACTGGTACAAAGAGCTATTTATTGTTGGGCTCTGAGTTCTCTCTTGCCTCCCTCCCCTTCTGTTTCCCTCCTTTTGGGAGCGATGCAATATCTCATACAAGGAAAATCCATTGGCTGGGGCTCAGTGACTTTTGTGGTATGTCTAAGATTCAGAGATAATCAGTCTTTGATGGAAAGATGCCCTTGGTATGTGCTGTCTCGGTTATGAACAAAGGTATCCCTGGCAGTGTGATTTAGGAAAGGTATCCACTGCTTGCCCACACAACTACTTGGTTTGGGCCGAGACTATTACTGAGCTGAGTAATAAATTCCCACTATACCGAAAGCAGGAGCTGAAATGCCCAATGTCCATTTTTTCCCCACTCTGGAAACACTCTCCCATAGCTATGAAAAATTCAGACGTTTAATTTTCTCTGTGGGCAGCAAATAGGACAAGCCAATTATTTATATATTATAGGGAGAGATAAAAATGAACAGACAAAAGAGGAAAGAAAAGGGAATGTGTCCAAGAGAAAACTGTCATTCGGGACCTCAGTACCTGCAAAAGGGAATGCCTTGCTGCGTCTGGATTTTGGTGTCTCTTTCGAAACTGTGCAGCTGTGGATTATGGAGATAGTGCAAAGGTCCCAGCGTGTCAGGGGCTTGGGTGTGGCCTACATGTTCAGACAAGACCAGAGGAGGGCACAACTTGTCCAAAACTAAAGCCTAAGGCAGACCCTGAGAATAACGTGTTTCCACTGCCAAAGGACTGGGAAGCAGCAGACACAGCTGGGAACTTCCAGTCTTGCCCTCCCGATGCCCAGGCTTGGGTGACTCCTATACACCTAAGGGCCTTAGGCAAAGAATCCCAGATTCTTCCTGATTCTTCCTGATTCTTCCTGCAAACAGCTGGACTAGGCACCCAGTGGGCCGGGGGAAGATGAGCTCCACCACTAACTTGCTTTCCTAAGAATCCTACTGGAACACCTCCAGTGTTCCCCTAATTAGTTCCCGTGACTCATCGGTGCCTCTGGATGATCTGGTGCCGGGCACAGTAAGGTACTGACTGAATACTTGGACAACTCTCCCACCCCCTGTTGGCAGTGTTCCCTATTGCAAGCCATTAGAGATATCCAAGGTGACACCGAACCTACAAACAAGCCTTCCACTGTGGATTCATCAGCCTTTGTTTACATCAACACTCCACAGCTATGACCTCCTTCTTTGCAATTTATAATCAAGTAACCCAAGATGATGGCCTGAGTCCATCACGCCTGAAAATGACCACCCTATAAATACGACTCTGATCACATTACCTGGAAAACAGCTCGTCCATCACCTGCTGCCTCCTCTAACCTGCCAGCGCCCCCACCGTGCACACACCTGCCTCTTCCTTAACAAATGGGTCCTGCAGGTGGGGGACGTCAGGTATGGACTGACTGCACTCGGACTGCAAATTCCTTCAACAGCAACAAACACAACCCTGGTGGTGATGGGAGTCACAGAATACCCAGAGAACATATCTTATTTCCCCACAAGATGACAAAGCACTTTATGGTGAGAGTCCTCATCTTTACTTCTTTGGATTCTTCTTCTTCTGGTATCTAGGGTATGACTAAGAACACAGCGTGTGAATTAAGTTGAATCCAGCGTCAAACTTGGCAGGCTCCCCGGGATGTCACTCCTCAATGACATCAGCAGTTTTGATGACTCTGTTGCTTTTCCAAACATGGGTATTTCTTAAAGCCATGAGAAGGGACAAAATCATGCATTTGGATTACCAGTAATTGCCTTTATTGCCCCCTCCAATCAATGGGTATGTTTAAAAGTTCACAGATCCTTTATAAAAAGATCTGGTGGCAACAGGGTCATTTTTAAGCTAATGTAGATTGTGGAGACAGCAGCAGCGCTCACTGTAATGTTTTAGAGATTCCCTGTTATTCGCTGCTTCCGCGGGTACCTCTGGGCAGACGTTCTGCTTCACACAGGATTGTGACACTGACGTATCCTCTCCTTTAAGTCCTGGTTTATATAAACCAAATATAGTCTTAAAAAATGACCTTGTAACTCCTGTTGAGAGTTGTCAGACTACAATTGAACTCTGCTCCTCTGAGATTTCATTTGGCCTAGTCCATAAGTTCAAAGCAGGGGCCCAAATTGGCTTATCCAATTGTACCATTGTTTTTGGTGGTTTATACACAAGGAAATCCCCGTTTGAAGAACGTCTCAGACGCAGAGCTCATTAAAGGTCTTTACTCACCATTCCTCCTCCTTCTCGAATCACAGTGTCTCAGTCTCCCTAGCCAGACTCTTAAACACAGGTAACTGCCATGAACGCTACCTCCTTCCTCTAGAATAAGGCTGCCCTAGGAACAGATCTCCCCTACTCCCATAGCTTCAACTATGACTTTGTCTATGATCAACTATGATCAATGTCTCTATCTGGGACGTCTTCCCCAAGCCTTAGATCCTTATTTTTCGCTGCCCAGTGGGCACAGACAGCAGGCCTATCTTAAGCCTGGCATTTTACTTTTTTTATTTTTAATTTTTTTAGAGAGAGAGAGAGAGAGAGGGAGTGTACATGTGTCGGGGAAGGGGCAGAGAGAGAGGGAGAGAGAAAATCTCAAGCAGACTCCACGCTCAGCACAGAGCCCAACAAGGGGCTTGATCTTGTGACTGTGAGATCATGACCTGACCCAAAACCAAAAATCAATTGCCTACCAATGAGCCCCCCAGGTCCCCCAAGTCTGGCATTTTAGAAACAAACATTATCCTCTTGCTTCTGTGCCATCCCTCTATAACCTTGTTCTTCTTCAACTCCCTCTTTCAGTAACACGCCAGCACTATTCATTCTCTGCTCTTGCTCCAAAATTTTCAACTCGCCCCTAAATCCAATCCATTTTCCCAACAAAACATTCCTTTGAACAATTCCTGCCTTCTTGTTGTCACCACTGAGATCCTGGCCTTCAGCTTCACTGTCCTGTATTACAACATTTTTATACCAATAGTGTTTATCCTGGCAAACAAAACAAAACACAACTGGAGACAACTGAATTTCCATCAGTAGAACAACAGTTGAATAAATTATGGCACAACCAGTCTATGGAGCTGGTGTTAAAGAGAATGGATTAGATCAAGATCTATAACCCAGAGGCCTGTCCTTGATATATCCTTAAGTGAAAAGAACAAATGTCACAGAGTAAAGAATTTTAATAACCTCCTTTTTAAAAGAAGGTCCACGTATGTTTTTATGAATAAGGAAAAGTTAACACAAACATAGGATTACTAAGTTAGTAATGAGGATGGAGGATGAGGATGAAGAATTGTTAAGTCTTTCTTCATATACCTATGTGGTCAGCTCATTTAACTGTTTAAACTTGTGGTAAAATACACATAACATAAAACTTGCCATCTTAATCATCTTTCAATGTACGGTTCAGTGGTATTAAGTATTTGCATTGTGTGCAACCAGCACCACCATCCACCCACAGAACACTTTTCATCTTAAAAAACTGAAACTCGGGCGCCTGGGTGGCTCAGTCGTTAAGCGTCTGCCTTCGGCTCAGGTCATGATCCCAGGATCCTGGGATCGAGCCCCACATCGGGCTCCCTGCTCAGCGGGAAGCCTGCTTCTCCCTCCCCCACTCCCCCTGCTTATGTTCCCTCTCTCACTGTGTCTCTCTCTGTCAAATTAATAAATAAAATCTTTGAAGAAAAAAATAAAAAAACAAAACAAAACAAAACAAAAAACAACTGAAATTCTGTCCCCATTCAACACTAACTCCCCATTCTCCCTCCCTCAGTCCCTGGCAAGGACCATTCTACTTCTATCTCTACAAATCCGACTACTCCAGGAACCTCATGTAAGTGGAAGGTCACTCAGATCATAAGAAGTTAAGAAAAATTAACCCAAACTTGTAAACAAGGTAAGGGAAAGGAGCATGTTCTTCCAATGTCCTGCTGAGCATTAACAGCTCACACAAGGATTATTTCATTACTCAGGGCACTGGCTTTGTGTTTGACAAGCTCTTTATGATGGATTAAAGGTCCAGCCTATAAAGTTAAGGGTAACTTATAGATTTTTGTCCAGTGGAGATGTAAATGATTTCTGTCAGGTTTTGTTGTCCCACTGGACTGCTAATCAGTTTACACCTAACCCTGACATCTTATCCTGACATTCCTTCTTGAATGCGTTTATAACCTGTTCCTTTCGTTCTCCTTTGAACCAGCTTTGCCATCCTGCTGGCTCCCTCATTAATTTATTAAATCAATCTTTGCTACATGTTCATTCTATATTTGTGTGTCATATATTTAACCTTTGAAAATTACACTTTGACAAAGGGGTTACTCTCTTTAACCAAAAATATCTAAAGGTTTAAGGAACCTTTGGTCGGTTTCATATTAACAGCTTAGCAAATACTTCTAACTGGTGGCACAAAGCAAAACTTTCACATCTAAATGATCACAAAATCTCCATGAGTGAGGTCAAACTTCAGTAGGGTATATTTAGATTTTTAACTTCGGGTGCTCCATTTGTCTCTGCTCTAGTTGATAGTTAACGTATGCCCAGGAAAAAGCACAGACTCCTTTCCTTAAAAAAGGAGAGAGAGCTGCCGTTGGAAGAGATTAATTGCTTTCTTCTCAATGATCAATTCTTGAAAACATGCCCCACTCAAGGCCCCACTGAATCTTGCCTGCTTTGCCGTCACTGAGGCATGGCATCAGCCATACGCCTTATTGATGGTATGCTCTTGAACTCATTGTCTGCAAACCACTGAAAACCATGATCTGGGTAAGTAAGAACATGTATGTCCCAGCAGTGTTATATAAAAGCTGTGAAATTAGAAACAGACAGGTCTTAAAATCTTAAATCTTAAAAAAAAAAAAATTAACAGGAGCTGCC